GGGCTCTTTTTCCAGGCAACCAGGGACAGGACAAGAGGGCCTGGCCTGAAGCTGCTCCAGGGGAGGCTTAGGTTGGATATCAGGAAGCACTTCCTCATGGAAAGGCTGCTCAGACCTTGAGATGGACTGCCCAGGGAAGTGGTGGAGGCACCATCCCTGGAGGTGTTCAAGGACAGGCTGGATGTGGCACTTGGTGCCCTGGTCTGGCTGATGTGGTGGTGTCAGGTCATAGGCTGGACTTGATAATCTCAGGGATCTGTTCCAGCCTCAATAATTCTGGGATCCTGTGATCCCATTTGCACTGAATTTTCACCTCCAAGAAGCAGCCATGTGGCTGGAGAAGGAGAGTGTGCCTGGGCTGCAGAGAGATGGTTGATAAAGCTCCACATTTCAGGACCCTGAGAGAAATCATTGGTCTTCAAACCCTGAATCACCAAATCATCCCCAGTCATTGAAAGGTAGAAGCACAAGGAACAGTTGTCCCAGTGCTCAAGGTGTTGGAGGAAGAGCTTCATCTTTTCCATTTTTAGGCTGGTATTTTAAATTTGAATATTTCTTTTCACCAAAAAGCTGCAAATTGTAGTGGAATGAGGGTTGGAACTGGCTGCCCAGTACCCAAAATCCCACCTGCTTTTGCAGTTTGGATTCAGTCTGAATTCAGACTGACACTTCTTTAGGTAGAACAAACTAAACTGAATTTAGGAAAAATACTTTCCAGAAGTAAAAAAGAAGTCAAAGCCTTTTTGTTTCAGTTGACTTTGAAACTGAAACATTTCTAGTCAGTTTAGCAAGTTTATCTTCATTGTCATGGCCCATCACTTCAGGTAAGAGGATGCAGTCCTGGAGCTGGACTTTAAAAGCTCCAATGACCAAAACCAAACCCTTTTTCTTGGTAGCAACAGAGAAAACATGACAGAAACCATTTTATTTTGTCTTTGAAGGTACAATCTGCCATAGCTGGGTTATCATGCCCAGCAGGCCCTGTGCTCTCCCCACTGTCCATGGATCATCCTTGCCTTTAATTGTGCTCCAGCCCCAGGGATTTCAGGAAACCCTGCATCTTCAGCCCCTTATTCCCTCCCTCTTTAACACCAGTAACCACTGGGCTAGAAACCCCAGACCTCACTTTTACTCCCTGTAGATGAAGATCAATCATTGGTTTATTTCAGGGGCTCGAGCGCTTTGGGCTGAGCAGGATTCATGACATTTGGAAGCTCAGTCAACCTGCAGAGGAAAGGAAAAAAGGTGAGTCCATCTCCCCCTCCTCTCCCTTGGGTCTGACCCTCCTTGCAGCAGCAGCAGCACAGATTGTTTAGTTTTGCTGCTGGGCTGGGAAGCAGGAAGCTCCTTGCTGGGTTATTTCACATGTCCTCCTGTAGTTACTTGGTGAGAAGTGACTTCCCAAGGGGAATGTCACAGGTTGGGCTTTTCCTGCTGCTCCAGGAGCTGATGTTAATACCAGAAACACCAAAACTGGGGGGTCTGTGTCCCCTCTCCAGCTTTCCTCTGCCATGTCTTGCCTTGAATGCAAGAGCCCAGTAAACTTCATGGATTGGGATTTACTTCCCCCCTTTTGTTTTCTGATTTTGCTTCATTTTTAAGTTGATTTAGGCATTTCCTGCTTTGTTTTGGGTTTAAACCTGGTGTGTGGAATGGGCTCTCTTTTTCTTTCACTGAGGGTTGTCATTTAGGAAAGAAACAGTTCATATAAAATCTCCTTCTGCCTTGGCAGCAGAAGGCAGGTGTTGTTATTTATGAGTCACAGAGACAACCAAAGGACTTGCTGAGCTGCCACAAGTGGGTGATGATCAGGGTGTTGTCACTGGTTCTTTGCAAGGTGAGCTCCTTGGAGAACTCCCTGGAACTGGGTAAAGAGAGAGAATAATGCAGGTTGGAAGGGCCCTGGGGTTGGCTCTGCCCTCAGCCCCTGTCCCAGCCACTCTCAGGTAACCTTTATGCCTTTTCAGGCTGCTCAGAGTCTTTTTCTTTCCATTTCCAAATATCTCTGGGGCCAAAGGTTGAGCAGATGTTCTAGGACATGTGGTCTAGAACTCATACAACTACAGAATGGTTTGGGTGGGAAGAGATCTTAAAGATCAACTGGTTCCAACCCCCCTGCATGAGCAGGGACACCTCCCACCATTCCAGGCTGCTCCAAGCCCCATCCAACCTGCCCTTCAACACTGCCAGGGATGGGGCAGCCACAGCTTCTCTGGGCAACCTGGGCCAGGGTCTCCCCACCCTCACAGCCCACAATTTCTCCCTCACATCTCAGCTCCAGCTCCCTCTGCCAGCTGGAACCCCTTCCCCCTGCTCCCATCCCTCCCTGCCCTTGTCCCAAGCCCCTCCCCAGCTTTCCTGGAGCCCCTTCAGGCACTGGAAGCTGCTCTAAGCTCTCCCGGGAGCCTTCTCTTCTCCAGGCTCAACACCCCAACTCTCCCAGCCTGTCTCCAGAGCAGAGCTGCTCCAGCCCTCCCAGCATCTCTGTGGCCTCCTCTGGCCTCTCTCCAACAGCTCCACGCAGATGAGACCATCGAGCCTGGGTGGTGTTTTGTGTCAGTCAAGAGAAAACCCTGAGTGAAAACCACCCCACTGCAGAGCAAGGAGTGCATCCCAAACCCCTGCATCCCACAGCAGCAATCACAGCATCATGGGATGGTTTGGGTTGGGAGGGTCCTCAAAGATCATCCAGATCCAACCCCCCTGCATGGGCAGGGACGATCCATCCTCTGCCCCAGGCTTCCCTAACACTCTGAAATCTGATCCGAATTAAAAACTGCCCCTCTCTGTCTGTTCAAATGAACTCATGGTATCTCCTGCTTCCTTTTCAGCCAACCTGGTTATCAATGACTCCTTTATCAAGAGGTGGGAAGAAACCCAAGGCTTCCTGGGTTTGAAGGAGTACGTGGAGCGCGTCGACGACAAAGACCTGGAAGGGAAAATTGCAATTGTGGAGAAATACAAAGATCGGGTCCCAGAGCTGGTGCAGAAGATCAAGAGCAGCCACGTGTCTCAAGAAGCCCTGGCAGGTAAAGCCAAGCTTTGTCCTGGGGAGAGGAGCAAATTCCTGTCCTTTTTCACTCCAGCTTCAAACCCACCTGGTTCTGCAAAAAGCTGCGTGTGGATCGGGTTGGGTTGGTTTTTAGGGAGGAGGGAAGTTGAACAGCAGCTCTTGGGGTGAGTTTGGGACTCCAGGTGGAGCTCAGTCCCACCAAAGGTTTTCTTAAGGTGACTTTGCTAGAGGCAGATAAACCTTGGGACACAGTATTTCATGTGGTTGGAAAGCCCTGGGGCTTGGTCCTGCTTTGTGGGATCCCTGCTGTCCTTACCCTGCAACGTGCTGACTGAAATTTGGGGAGGGGATGAAGGAATCAGGTCAAAAATTCAGCAGATGAAGAGCATTCCTGTTTGGGGGCTCAGGCTGCTGACACCCAGGGCTTTGCCTTGGCAGGGAAGTTGTCTCCCTCTAGGTTCCCCACAGAAGATCTTTTCATCTGGTTTATGTTTGGGGAGAGGTGAAGTGAAGGCAAAATGAAATGAATTCCTGGAACTCGGTGCCTTGTGAAATTGAAAACACCACGATTGCTGCAGTGACTGATGTTGTTTCGTCCTTGTTCCCACCTTTGCTGGTTCCAGATTATCTGATAGGGACTGTCCACCAAGCCAAAGGCCTGGAGTTCGACACGGTGCTGATTGCTGAGGACTTTGTGAAAGTGCCAAGTCTCAGTGGGGATTTCCAGAGAATTAAATTCCATATTGGTAAGGGAATGGCTGTGTGTGGGGCCTGCCCTGGTCTGACACCCCCCTGCAGGTCCCCAACAAAGGAAGGACATGGAGCTGTTGGAGAGAGTCCAGAGGAGGCCACAGAGATGCTGGGAGGGCTGGAGCAGCTCTGCTCTGGAGACAGGCTGGGAGAGTTGGGGTGTTGAGCCTGGAGAAGAGAAGGCTCCAGGGAGACCTTAGAGCAGCTTCCAGTGCTTGAAGGGGCTCCAGGAAAGCTGGGGAGGGGCTTGGGACAAGGGCAGGGAGGGATGGGAGCAGGGGGAAGGGTTTCCAGCTGGCAGAGGGAGCTGGAGCTGAGATGTGAGGGAGAAATTCTGGGCTGTGAGGGTGGGGAGACCCTGGCCCAGGTTGCCCAGAGAAGCTGTGGCTGCCCCATCCCTGGCAGTGTTGAAGGGCAGGTTGGACGGGGCTTGGAGCAGCCTGGAATGGTGGGAGGTGTCCCTGCCCATGCAGGGGGGTTGGAACTGGATGATTTTTAAGGTCCCTTCCCACCCAAACCCTTCCATCACTCTGTGATCTGGAAGTGGCAGAGCCCAGTGTGCTGCTGGCTCTTCTCCTGCAAACTGGTGTTTCTTGGTGCATCAAGTGCCACTGCTTGTCCTAGTGATTACTGATCTTGTAGCTGCCTTCCCAGTGGGATGGGGGCAGGGAAATACTTCAGTGGTCCAGCTGGTGACCATCAAGCAACAGAAAACCACAACTCCCCACCTGGGAAAGACACTGCTTTCCTTCAGTGCCACCAGTTGTGCTTTGGAAGAGCTGGTCTCTTCCCAGTGAGCAGAGAGGAACCTGCAGAGTGGAGCTAGAGCCTGAGAAACTCCTCCAGTGCCAAATCTGTGCCCAGGAGGTGGGAAGACATGTAGCACTGAGCTGCTTCTCCAGGCTTGTGGGGTCTTGCCTGTGCCTGGAAGGGAGGACATGGAACAAGGCAGGAGTTACTGGTGGTGCCAGGAGCTGCCAGATGCAGGAGGGCATTGCAGAGCTTTGCTGCCCTGCAAGTTCCTGCTGTCCCAGAGAAGCACCAGGTGTCCCTTCAGAAGCACCTGCTGAAGCATTAGAAGAGTGGCAGAGCTGTTCATTCTTGGTCTCTAAAGCTGCTGCTGATCTTCCCTCCAACCCAGGCTTGTATCCTGAGGATGAATGGAACCTGCTCTATGTGGCAGTGACACGTGCCAAGAAGTATCTGCTGATGTCCAAGTCCCTGGAGGACCTTTTGGCATTGGCTGGGGTAAGTTCAGCCTTCCCAAAGGAAGAAGAGACTCAAGCAGGACAATTTAGGGCCCTGATACCTGCACTTTGCAGCATTCTGGACCAAAGCAAGGCATGGATGGGTAAGTTCAGCCTTCCCAAAGGAAGAAGAGCCTCAAGCAGGACAGTTTAGGGCCCTGATACCTGCACTCTGCAGCATTCTGGACCAAAGCAAGGCATGAACATGTCCCACCTGGCTGAGCAGGGAGGCTGCCCGGGAGCTGCAGCAGTTGCTCCACAGAGGGAGCTCCAGAGGCAGAGCAGGGAGCTGGGAAGGGCAGAAGCCCAGGAATGCTGCTGGCACATCAGGGTGGGAGTCTTGGGGTAGCTCTGCAAGCAGTGACATCTCAGGCAAGATCCTCCAGCCCAACCCTTCCCCAGCCCTGCCCAGGCCACCCCTGCCCCGTGTCCCTCAGCACCATCTCCAGGGCTTGGAAACCCCTCCAGGGATGGGGACTCCCCCCCTGCCCTGGGCAGCCTGGGCCAGGCCCTGACAACCCTTGCCAGGCAGGAATTGTTCCCCAGATCCAACCTCAGCCTCCCCTGGCACAACTTGAGGCCGTTCCCTCTTGTCCTGTCCCTTGTTCCTGGGGAGCAGAGCCCGACCCCCCTGGCTCCAACCTCCTCTCAGGCAGCTGCAGAGCCAGAAGGTCTCCCCTCAGCCTCCTTTGCTCCAGGCTCAACACCCCCAGCTCCCTCAGCTGCTCCTCACAAGTTCTCCAGCCCCTTCTCCTTCTGCTCCAGCCCCTTCCCCAGCTCCGGGGCCCTTCCCTGGACACGCTCCAGCCCCTCCAGGTCCTTCTTGTCCTGAGGGGCCCAGCCCTGACCCCAGGATTCCAGGTGTCCCCTCCCCAGTGCCCAGCACAGGGGGACAATCCCTGCCCTGCTCCTGCTGGCCACACTGGTGACACATGGCCTCCTTGGCCACCTGGGAGCATGGACTATGCTCTGGCTTGTGCTGCCACAAACCAGAATAGCTGAGGTCACATTTTTTCTCCAGTTCAGGCTGCTCTGCACCGTGGTTTCAATAGCAAGGCACAAGGTTGCATCATTTTTTTTCCCCCCAGTCCCTGCCTTTGGGTACTGTTTTTCAGCAGCCCTGTATTCTTATCTCAGCCTGAGCCCCTGGGTTCCCTTTTCTCTCTGCAGTGGTTGCAGCTCTTACCTCACTTCCTTCCTTGCAAGTTGCTGCAAGAGAGGTGATTCTCTTCCCCCTCTGTGCCACCCTGCTGAGACCCCCCTGCAGGGCTGGGGCCACCTCTGGGGTCCCCAACACAGGAGGGACAAGGAGCTGTTGGAGAGAGTCCAGAGGAGGCCCCAGAGATGCTGGGAGGGCTGGAGCAGCTCTGCTCTGGAGCCAGACTGGGAGAGTTGGGGTGTTGAGCCTGGAGAAGAGAAGGCTCCAGGGAGACCTTAGAGCAGCTTCCAGTGCCTGAAGGGGCTCCAGGAAAGCTGGGGAGGGACCTGGGACAAGGGCAGGGAGGGATGGGAGCAGGGGGAAGGGTTTCCAGCTGGCAGAGGGAGCTGGAGCTGAGATGTGAGGGAGAAATTCTGGGCTGTGAGGGTGGGGAGAGCCTGGCCCAGGTTGCCCAGGGAAGCTGTGGCTGCCCCATCCCTGG